AATGTCAATGACGTGATCAATAAAGCATATAAAAAACAACACGTGAGACATATATTGGCTAAACATATGGCCCGGTTACTAGGTGAGGGGGTGGAAGGGGAAGAGATTCTGCAAAATTAAATAATATCAAAATAAAATAAAAAATGTAAAAGTTTGTAACTTCTGATGTAAGTAAGTAAGTTTCCCTTTCAAACCTGACGGTCTATGGGGCAAGTGAAGTAGAGTTCACTTGTTTCTGTGACCTCGGCATATGAAGAGATAGTGTGGTCAGCACTATGCCCAGCCGCCTTTACTTTCCCTAACGTGAGTTAGGTACCCATCAGAGTTGGGTGGACTCATGGACGGTCTACTGACTTGAACCCGGATTCGAACCGGTTAGCAGTCCAGCTCTCTACCGCTAGACCACTCCGTCTGAAGTACCGAATGAAATTCAATTTACCCCCCTGCCCTTTGTTAGTACTAAAGACCGACACTTGGCAATTTCCTGTTTTGGTAATTGCTGAATAAATCGATATCCCTAGAGCCGAGAAATGCCGCCAAGTCTTACTAGAGGAAGGGTAGACAATCTAAGATGGTTCACCGTGGGTTCAGCGGGACTCATAGGCGTATACGTTTAAAATATTTAACCGTATATAATGTGTATACAGGGGGTGGATTGGCCCGCCGGTCTACAGTGTTTCTTCCAGACTTTTTCTCCGGGAGTGGGGGGGGGGGGGGGCATTTGAAATTTTCGGGGGACGGGGGGACACTGTTAAAAGTATATATTTTCTATATAAAATTCATTTCGTTCAGGGGGGCGGTAGACTTTCCCCCGAAGAGATGCCTGGAAGAAACTGCCGGTCTACATGGAAAATCCCGGTGGGCCCCAAGGTAGAAAATCTCGGTGGGCCCCAAGGTAGAAAATCCCGGTGGGCCCTTATAAGGTAGAAAATTACGGTGGCCCCAAGGTAGAAAATCCCGGTAGGTCCCCAGAAATTGTGCTGTACTAGGCCTATTAGTGCTAGGATTTTTTTTTTAAATTAATTCATCGCGTGAATTTTTATCAAGCTGAGGATGATCATCGGACATTGATTGAGGGGGTAGGGGTGGGGGTTTAATCTAGGGTTGGAGGGGCCCTTTCAAAATTTCCCAGGCTTCTTTGACACAGCCGGTCAGTGTTTCTTCTAGGCATCTCCCTCCCCCCCCCCCCCCCCCTCCCCCAACTATATGGCATTTATATAGAAAAATATATACTGTTACCAGTGTCCGCCCCCCCCCTCCCCGGAGAAAAAAAAATCTGGAGGAAACACTGCAGCCAGCCAACCCACGCACAGGACGTTGGAAATTGCACCAAGTCAGATGTACCTTATGATATCAAACCACAGGCGACCCAGTCAGGTTGACCGAGGTCAAAAGCGGGGCCAGACGGCGATGAAGGTCACCTGCCCCATTATAGAAATACGTGAGAGAGTTCAGCATTGGTTTGGTTTGTTGTTGTTTTTTTTTTTCGTTTTTTTTTAAACGAACTAGATCTACTAGCCATCAATGGTGATAGTGATATCTAACAGTACTTCTTAGCGATATCTCAAACTAGAAAGATGAACATACATATATCACATCCTTAGTTATCTAAATGAATATAAAGGTATCACATCTTTAGTTATCTGAATAGAGGGATTTGATTCGTTGTTAGGGAGATGGAATGATATGCACAGGAACAACTGACCAATCAGCGTACCGTTAAATATACACAAATAATATGTATAACTGATGTACCAAAAATTTTAAAAAGTCTTACAGTAAAATTAACATATGACCACTAGCTTTGAAAAAAAAACAAGCTTGAAAGCATTTGGTTCACCATTTGGTCTAGTGTAGTGAATTGTGATACTGACAAAGCCATGTCCATTACTCACCCAAAACTAATAACAGAATGAACAATATTTCATCAAAAGCAACAAGTTAACCAAAAAACCTTGAGTGGAATTTGGAAATTAAAATATTTTCAATGCCTCTTTACATCTAATTATAAATAATCTAACAATGTACACAGTGTAGTGTGCTAATTACAGTTAATTAAAAAACTTTTAAAAATTCTCCGTGTCCTACAAACTTTAATAATTACCTGAAGACAGTCACTAGATATAAATTTAGATGGGCAGAGAGATAGCCATACAACCTCTTCATATAAAAAGAGTGTTAACACAGGCAAACTAGGCATGTATTTTCACAGATGGTAATGTTTACATTCCACAAGTGTTAAAACAATATTGTTCATACACTGGATTCAATTACGTTCAGGGATTAATTTTATCATGATATTCATGTTCACATTGTCTGTGGATGGAAAGTGGGTGGAATTTACAAGGATTTTTAGTCTATAACAAGCATATTCCTCTATTACATAGTAAAAAATAATAGGATAACTTCCTATACAAATATGAGACAGGACAATAACAGTACCCAACTTTTGGAACTTATTCTTTGCTACCCTAACCTTAACATGCTACCCTAACCGTAACATGCTACCCTAACCGTAACATGCTACCCTAACCGTAACATGCTACCCTAACCGTAACATGCTACCCTAACCGTAACATGCTACCCTAACCGTAACATGCTACCCTAACCGTAACATGCTACCCTAACCGTAACATGCTACCCTAACCTTAACAATGATCTCAGCTATATTACCCTACCAGCTATCACAGCAGTATCTAGATAACTAATGCAGTTTGACACTTATAGGGATTTTGATTTTAAAACCACTGGTTTTACCATTAAACAGGAAAAATATAAATATAATAATTTGCCTTTATAAATAGACTACTTGTGTAGTTATAGATACTAATGTTATAACATTTGTGCAAAATCTACTTTTAAGAAGGTAACCTATTGTTTTTCATACATAAAAAGGTAAATAAGAGTATTATTTTGACATATTTTAAGTATAAGATCATTTGGGTAATATATTGCGAAGCTGAGCTGGCCGTTAAATTTAGAGGATAATTCCTCATTAAATATTGCTTTTCATAAATAAGGAAAAAAAGTTAATTTTCCTGGTGCAGAAGGGTAGATAATCCATTTTTTACACTTGCAAATAAAATTAAGCTCCGTGTGATTAGCAATGTTATATTCATCATTGCAGTAAAAAAAAATACAAAGCAGAAGCTCACATTCAATGAGTCAGAAGTAATTTCAGCCCTGCATCCAAACTCGTAATTAATCACTAATCATCTACCCAATCACCAACCTGGGGTAGATGAAGTAGAGTTCATTTGTTTCAATATCCTCTGCCTATAAAGGGATAGTGTAGTCAATATTATGCCCAACTGCCTTGCTTTTTCCTAATTTGAGTCAGGAATCCATCAGAGCTTGATGGACTCAAGAAAGTTTTACGGATTGAAGTCTGTGATCCGAATTCTTTCAGGTTAGCATTAGCCATCTCTGCGTCCAGACTACATGCTACTAGATCTAGTTATTCGTCATCTTTTCTAATCGTGCCCATGACACATGGGGCAGATGAAGTAGTGTTCTTCTGCTTCAGAGAATTCAACATATGAAGGGATAGAGTGTTAAGCACTACGTCCAGCTGCCTTTTTTCCCCCTGAGTTAGATACCCATCAGAGCTGGATGGACTCAAGGACATTCTGCTGACTTGAACCCAGATTCGAACGAGACTTTCCGGTTAGCAATCTAGCTCTTATATAAAATAGCCCTGTAGTCTGAATAGGTGCTAGAGTCTAGTCTAGCAAGTCCAGTTAGTAATCTAGTTTTAAGAAATTACTCTAGTAGTAGTAAGTGTCTTGATACTAGAATGACTAGACAGATAATTTTTTATCATTTTTTGTGTAGAAGTTACTTGGGAAATGGGACAGTGTGGACCAATGGTAGAGCATTTGACTCAGGAATTTCAGCCTGCTTTTCTTTTTAGATTTGCTTCCAAAGCCTTTGTCCAACCAAGAACAAACTACAAGGCGGCAGTTGTTTGATTTTGGAGTTGTCTCTCCTAAAAGAGTTCCTGTCCCCAACTATGGAGCTTCATCTGCTCAAGGGTTCCAACTCGATATTTTTATTTTTAGCACCCATGAGCTTTACCGACTGGACCATGCTAGGTCTTAAGAGGAACTTTATTAAGGGAGTTGGAGAAGCTTGAGGAAATGCATTATCGCTAAGATATAAAGTCTAGCTAAATCACAATAATATAACCAAAATTAAAGCTATTGAGTGAATGAGAGCTTTGACTATAAAGAAAAATGATGTTCTATAGTATAGGCCTACTGTAATAATTTAAATTTAGGTATAGGGCCTAATTAATTACAATAGTCTTACATATTTAATGTGACCAGCTATAGACTGTAGATCGAGAATCTCAAAGGTTAAAAAATATAATAAAAATGCTGTTACTGTTAGATCTATAAGTTTGTAAACTTTATGTAACTAATAGGCCTAAATATAGCCTTACGTTTTCATTGAGAATAGTCTGAATAGTTTAATTTTTTATAATAGTTACAGTTATCCTTAGTCACTTTATACTTTAAGACTTAGAATCTAGATTAGTCATATTAAATTAATAATTTAATAAGACTAGGGTCTAATCTACATTCTAAGTATTTAAATTTAAGTATAAAGTATATAATAATATATAATATAATTAAATATAATAATATAAAGTGACTAAGGATAACTCAAACTGTAATTAAAAGATAGATCTAATTATAATACTGTCACAGTAAAGTGTTAAGTCTCTAGATTCTAGATCTACACTAAGTTGACTAAGTTCAACGCCTAAACTAGTCGATGATTCTAAACTAAACAGTAAACACTCAGTACAGTCAGTGAGTACAGTACAGTGAGTTAGATTGATTAGTGATTATTAGAAATATTAGGACAATCTATCTAAGTATCTATTCATTCTATTGTCACAATAATAGGACTACCCGATTAGTAATATTATTATTATTAGTTAGCCCTAGACTAGATATTTTTAATTTTATAGAAGCATAAATTAGAATACATACCGGTTAGAATCAGTTGATTTGGTATTGCTGAGAAAATCTTAAGTTAAACTAGGATTTCAGTAAGATTTACTGTAAGACATTTGATTTGCACGCGGTACGGTTTGTTTTCCACTCGACACAGTAAAAAGTAAACCGTACTATTTTTATTTTTGTAAAAAGCCGGGGCGAGTGCAAACGAAGCTTGACGATATTACATCAGCTGCTTTTCGGCACGGCAACCATACTTTAAAAAAGAAAAATGTTATCAGTCTACATGTTTTATAACTATGCTAAAAACATACCACAGAGCCCCATTTCAGCGAAGAAAATTCGGCATCGTGTCACTTTTACCCTAGCCTACCCTGTTTCTAGTTTATTGATCTTCGTTCCGGTATTTTCATGAGAACAAATTTTATACTTCTCAACCAGCTGATTTTGGGGTCGAGGTTGTTGCACTTTTTTTTAAGGGTGACGTCATTTAAATTAGATGACTACGAGTCATTAATAATAATAATAATTAAAATCACTGCTATTACCAATAAAAAGCTTAAACCTAAAATATACGAACATGCTAAAGCTTAGGCTTTAGTGTAAGCCTGCTTTAATTATGGGTCATTCATAAAAGACTATCCTCAGAAGAAGGGACAATTCGGACTTGGTGACGATGTATGTATGTGTGATGAGAGGGGGGTGGGTTCAGAAAGCCCTGAAAGTGTCACACCTTTATAAAGGTAATACTAGTAATCGCTTAAAATTAAATTGAACTTTAACAGCTACTTGGCATTTAACTTTTTAAATATGTAAATTAGAATACAATTTTTTTTAAATATACACTTGAGTAATCTTATTTCTTCTTGACCCGGTTTAGAAAATATTTTCGAAAAAATTAAGAATAAAACGCTGTTTCAAAAATTAAATAGGATTTTTTTTTTTTTGCATGACTGGGGATAAACTAGTCATTTCGCGAGAAGGTGGGGGGGGGGGGGGGGGGGGGGAAGAAAGCGTTGTCAAATGAGCACGTCTGTTATTGTAGTTTATTTTTATACCAGAACATCTGATCTAATCTAAAATCTTAATACCGATTGCATGTTTTAGCACGTGCTACCCTTGAGAACTCCAGATGTTGCTTGTAAATGTTATGAATACCTTCTGGATGGGAGGAGTATAGACTAATTGCTGGTAGATTTTAGTGACCTCGTAATGTATTAATCTAAGAAGTGGAAAGTTGCATTTTGTAGGCCCTATTTCCAAAAAAAAATAATATTTCACTCAAATTAGATCTCTATTCTTTAGAAGGTGAAGTGGAGTAAGGCGCATAATTTAGGCAATGGGGTGGGGTGTAGAAAATTTTTAAAAAGATTTACAATTTTTATAAACATTGAATTGTGCAATGTAGTGCCAGGTCTTTTACAACACCTGTTTTAAAAAAAAAAACTATATTACTATATCAATTAACATAATATTACTTTACTTCTTGATTGAAATTCTTGGACACATAGCACACACTTTCACTTACATATATATTTGATAGACTGGTAGCTTAGTCATGTAAGTATAGTAGCAGGGATGTACGAATATCTTTAAATATTTGTAGAAAGAAAAACTCAACTTACAAACATTTGAAAAAAAAAATGTTTAAACTTTCCTTGTTAAAAGTTCCAAATATTTAAATATACAAAACTAAGTAGCTAAAACAAGGGGGATAACTGTTAAACATGTTTAGACCACGAACGAATCAGATATGAATCAAAAATGCGCAAGAGCTATTTTAACATGTAGAGAATAATACTGTAATAGCACAAGAAGAAATAGAATACAATTTTTGATTTACAGTTTTATTTGTGTAAATAATACCAAATCCCAGCCAGAATTTTAAAATGTTTCAGTTAAATCAATTTTCCAAAAAAAAATGTGTTAAACAAACTAATGTCAGTAGAACATAATTAGATCTGTATTATCAAAAAATAAACAGGATCAAAACAATGAGAAAAACTATTGTCAACCTACATTTTCAAATTCAAATAAAGGCTGGAGTAAATTGTTTAAAAAAACATTGACTTTTTCTATACTATTATAGTTAGAGGTCTATTAAACAATTGCTATTATGAAGTTGTTCATTCAGAGAAAAAAAAACTAAATTTTCATAAGTTTTAACAACAAAAACAATATTTACCTCTTACTTTAAGATATTGTTTTAGTCAAACCAACTATCTTAAGTTTAAATTGCACAGAAATAGGTCACCTGAGAGGGTTGTATAAAAACATTTTCACTGTCATAAATGAAATCATTTTCCAGAAATTTGATAGAAATTTATAAATGAATTATAAAGGGAAAAAAAATTTAAAATGTATTAGAATTATTAAATTCGGAATTTATTTTTATAATTAAAAAGCTTATTTAATTATATGGACATAAATGTTTTGAAAAATTAGTACTAAAAAACTTGCAATAAATAAGTACACACAAAATTGAACCAAACATGAAATATAACAAGAACATTATAAACTATTTAAGATTTACCTAGGAAGTAAAAGTTTTTTTTATAATAAACACTAAAAAAAATTCACTTTTTAAGTTTTGGAAAATAACTTTGATTATGTTAGAAACTAAGAAAACCTTGCAAATGCAGATCTAGTAATAAATGCATGTGACACAATATTGTCACAATCAATTACATAAGAACAGAAGCTATGAGACCATGGCCTCAATAATAAATGCATCACTGTACTTCATATTGTCACAACAGAAACTATGAGACCATGGCCTCAGTAATAAATGCATCACTGTACTTCATATTGTCACAATGAATTACAAAAGAACAGAAACTATGAGACCATGGCCTCAGTAATAAATGCATCACTGTACTTCATATTGTCACAATGAATTACAAAAGAACAGAAACTATGAGACCATGGCCTCAGTAATAAATGCATCACTGTACTTCCTATTGTCACAATGAATTACAAAAGAACAGAAACTATGAGACCATGGCCTCAGTAATAAATGCATCACTGTACTTCATACTGTCACAATTACATAAGTACAGAAACTAAGAAATCATGGCCTCGGTGGCTCTAGTGACAAACGCGTCGTAGCCGGCCACTTGATATTGTCTAGCAGCTTCTGCAGGATCAGCAGCCTGGTAAATGCCACGCCCTACAATGATGATATCTGAGCATCTGTTTGTGATCACCTCTGTGGGGGTGAGGTAGTTTTGTCCCAAGTTATCTTGGCCTGATTCAAGTTGGACACCTGGAGAAAAAATAATTTTCAAATTGTAACTAGTGCACCATGTTAACACAGAATGCTTTTATATACTGGTGGGATGGTGTGATCAGATGGCAGAGTATACGGCTGCTAACCCGAAAGTCTCGAGTTCAAATCCTTGGTTTGTGTGTTAGTAGAACTACCCTGAGTCTTCCCATCTTTAATGAGTACTTAGCTCATGTTAGGGAAAGTAGGGTCTGCTGGGAATAGTGCTGATCACACTATCCCTTCATATGCTGAGGTCACAGAAACAGGTGAACTCCACCGTCGTATGGACCGTCAGGTTTGAATGGGAACGTAACTTTTTTTATATACATAAACTTAATAAAATGTTTTTTTTAAAACCCAACCTGGAGTCATATGTATTAATGTTGGATCAGTTGAAAGCTTTGAGACAGAGATAAAACCAATCACAAAATCTTTATTGTCTTCAGCCATTTTTACAGCAGCTGCAGATAAAAAAATTAATTATGAATACAATGGATAAGAAATAAACAATTTCGTTTTAACTAAGCAAATGTGAAGTTAAAAAAATCATATTAACTATATATGAAATACACAGTTAAGAAAATGAAAAGGGAGTAACATAAAATCTGAGCAAGGTATGGTTGAGCAGAGAGCAAAAGATGAACATGAAATTTTGTTAGAGAAGTTAAAGTAGATTATTTTAATTGTCTATGGACCCATCAATTTTGAAAAGCTAACTTTCCCCTTTTTTCTTTGGTTCGCCAGCAGTTTAATCTGATAATTAAATACATGTTAAAAATGTTTTGCTACCTTCAGTATAACTGCCAGTGGCCAAATTTCCAGCTGAACTCATTTCGGCAATGAGAAGACAACCCTTTGAAGCATCGACCTGAAAGTAATTAGAATATAAGCAAACTATGATTTTTTTTTTTTAAATCTATTAGTTAATTAACAACAAAATCCAGAAAGGAATTTTTAGCTTGATATTTATTTCATCATCTTTCCCCATTTGTGCCCAAGACACATGGGGCAGATGAAGTAGAGTTTTTCTGTTTCAGTGACCTTGGTATATGAAGAGATAGTGTGGTTACACTGTTATTTTTTTAATTTATTTTGAAACTTAAAAAAATATGTTAAGTATTGCTGTATAAACCTGCTTCTAACCTTGTTATAATAAATATTTTTCAAAAAAAGATTTATATAAATAAGAAGTAAATTTATAAAGATATTAAAGTATAAAGCAATAACTGATATCAGTTTTTGTTTTAACAACAGTCAGTCTACAGTGAGAATGTGTCAAACATCTAGTTACTTACTTCCTTCAACCCATGCACAACACCAGCCCCTGGAACAGCGTGAGCATTCACGATATTAGCCCAGTCACTTATGTGGTACACGCCTCCTTTAAACTGATGCTTCACTGTGTTGCCTATGTCAGCAAACTTTCTGTTAGTAAAAAATCATAAAGTAAAATCTTAAAGTCAGAAATTTTTTTAATTAAAAGAAAATATAAGGTACTTTTCTATGAATTGTGGAAATAGAAAACACGCTTTTATCACAATATAACTGGTATACAAACAAAATAATGTAAACTTGTATTGCCATGCTGCCATTTACATAAAGAAAAACTTTATAAATGCTGAATATACATTATTGACTTACCGGTCTTCAAATATTAAAAAGTTAAATTTAGCAGCAAGCTGTTTAAGTTTGACTGTAAACTCCTGATCAAAATCATCTAAAATATCAATATGCGTCTTCACTATACAAACATAAGGGCCAACTTTCTCTATTAACTGGAGATGAAAATTAGAAAGAAAAAACAATGTAGAGTGTAGATATATATACACAAAAAAAGAACAAAAGATTAAAAATAAAATTGCTTCCATACTCTTAAATTGTTTTTAAAAATATTCTAAAAACAAATGAAGACACTTTAAAAATCTAAAAAATAAAACCACTACAAAACACACACAGAAAGGAAAAACAAGAAATTGATAAACACCTGCAGAAGCTGCTTAGAATCTGACAAATCAGCTGACAGAGCTAAATTAGATTTTTTCTCCTCCATGATTTCAAACAACTTTCGACTTACAGGATTGTTACACATTTTGGCTCTCTCTCCATACCCAAGAACCTAACCAGATAATAAAGCATCTTTTAGGGGCATTGAAGAAAAAATTTCATAACTTAATTGAACAGAAAGTTATCATAAATAATTCTAAATAAACTGGTACAATCCTTTATTTGCAGAAGATATAAAAACAAGTAATGCCTTAAAGCAACTCTTAATTTAAATCTAAAAAATCTGGTAATTTATATCAGTCCACAAATGTAGAAAAAAAAATCACATGTCTTGAGCTAACAAACTCTAGAGCAGGTAGATGTTATCACTAACAAATACAGTTTGTTAAGTCTTACAAGAACCTATACCACTAAGATGGGCATATGAAGCTTAACTAGTTAACTAGCAGAAGTAAATAAATAAATCATAAAATATTTGCCTTAAAACAGTGGAAGACTAAAAGAGCAAATACTAAATATGACAAACAATAGAAATAAATAAAGTCAACCTGCTGGGGTAGCTTGGCCTGACCATTTGTATGAAATTTATTCTCCGCTATGTATGCTGTAACCTTTTCAACCATTTCTGAAGACATTTTACCAGCTTTATTTAAAACTCTAAGCACATCAGACATTGTAAAAATACTAGAAGGAAAAAGAAACAGAGGTAAGTAAAGATGTTTTGGAGGTACAAACAGTGTGAAAACTATGGTATGAGTTCACAAAATATGCAATAGAATAAATAATGTTGAAATAAATATTCACTATAATCTATCTCTTTATATCAGAAATGTCAAGCCTATGTTTAACAGATCAATTCCAATTAGCATTCACTTGATATTTAAAAGGATACAACTCAATATAAAGTTTATTTTGCAACAAATATACTTTACAAAAAAAAATACAACTTAGTGTGCCTATAAAAAATTACTTTGCCTACATATATTTGGATTTACCAACATACCTATATAATGTTATGCCTTCATTAGCCAGCTTATCATGACCCCCTTGTTCTCTGTTCAAAAGAACAACAGCTTCTTTTACAACAATACCGCAGGATTGAAGGGCCTAAAATGTATTTTTAAAAATATTTAATACAAAAGCCAAGAAACAAAATAAACCCAATTAAAAGCATTTGTAATGAAAAGACTAAATTAGAATAATTTTATACAAAGAGTTTTGAGCAGCTTTTTACCTGTGCAGTCTCTATTATACTAGATCCACTTGATACAACATCTTCAACAATAAGACAACTATCCCCATTCTCATAAACTCCTTCAATCAATTTATTTGTTCCGTAACCTTTAACTTCCTTACGTCTTATTAACATTGGAATGTTATTGCTGGTTGACATCAACTGCATAGAACAAAACATATATGTTAAGAAAAGATCTAAATGTAGACCCATAGATTTTTTTTTTTAATTTAAGAACAAAAGAGTATGAGAGGAATGAATTATAAACATAGTAAAGGATATCTTTTATCTAGGCCTATGTTTTATTTATATATATATATTTACATCGGCCTATATTTTATATATATATATATATATATATATATATATATATATATATATAGATATATGAAAGATAGATGTAGATTTATCTAACAATGATTTTAGTAAGCGTATACAAATAAATATTTGGTAAATGATGCTAAACTGAGCAACAAAAAATTCATGTAATAATTTTACTTACAGTAGCAAGTGGAAGTGCAGTATACGGCACCCCACAAATTGTTTTAAATTTGCATGAGGAGACCTTGTTCCACAATAAGGATGCAATATCTACCTGAAAAATGTGTGCAAGGTATTAGTTATTAGTATTTGTAGTTGGTTTATTTATAATTATAAAGAGTTTCTATTAGACCCTAACTACTGCCAAGACAATAATAGAAAAGATAGTTTTACTGTTGTTAACTTTTGTCAATGGGGTTTTTACACCTTAGACCTGAAGCAGAGAAGACAACTATTTTATACTTTGAAATAAATACCCTATGCAGACTTAAATAGTTTTTAACCCAAACTTGGCAGAAAAGATCCAGTGCCCAAACACCTAAAATTACTAATAGTTAATAGATCCATATTACTATCATTCAGCATCACACAGATCAGATATCTCTAGTGACAGTCAAGTAACACATGAATATAACAATAACAACAGAAATGTTTCTAGGTTTTTGACAGCCAAGGGCCTACATATTTGTTAAAGGGAATGGACGCAGTTGTGAAAAGTCTTGAAATTGTGTATAAAATATTTTTAAAATCTGGTGCAATATTAATTTGGTTATGGTTATAAAAACCCTGACTTTGATTTTTGACAGACTTCACTTACTCAGACTTAAGATTGGATGTATCTAATGTAAAAAAAAAAAATTTATAAGCAAAGCTTACAGAATAAATTACAATAAAATGGGTTTTTTGTTTTAGAAAATTGATAACCGAACCAATCAAAGTTTGTTATTAGAAAGCAAAACTTCAGAATATAACCCAGGTTTGATTAAAATAAATAAAAATGAAGCTTTGCCTTAACCGTAGCTTTTTTAAACTCAAATTATTTTAAGTTCTCTGGATTTGCAACATTAAATTTTAAAATATTAATTCTAAAAATTTTAAATATGATTTAGCCTAAATCATATTTTTTTACAAGTAGGACGGGATGGGGCAGTGTCAGCGTCAATTTTCTAAAACAATTTCTGGTAGTCCCCTATTTCAAGCTTATTTTTAAACATTTCAAACAAATGTAACTAAATCATAGTTCATAGAAGCAAACATCATTATTTTTGTGTCAAAGATTATATAGGCCCTAGGCCTAGATCTAGTAATTTTATTATTTAACTATTTAGATTTTAGGCCTAAGTAAAAAATTCATCATTTAGGCCTAATACTGGTAATAGTACTAATACTAATGCTGATGACATCAGCATTAGTATTAGTACTATTACGGTATTACCAGTATTAGGCCTAAATGATGAATTTTTTACTTAGGCCTAAAAAAAGTGATGTCAAGTAATGTGTAATCTACATTTTATGTGCACTTTTTAAATTTGATTTTAAATTATCAAATGCAGGCTAGATCTAAGTATTTTTGTGGTTTAATTCCAAATATGTGGACGGTCCACATTGACCCCAACCCCTTAGTCCACAAATTCAAAAGTGTCGATTTTTAGGACCCCCCCCCCCCCCCTTACCGCATGATGTGGACGTGATCATAATGACTCAACAAATGAGGGTGACCCCCTAGCACTACATCTAGCTGCCCTAGCTAGTAGCTATGCCTATCCTCAACACTGAGCATAGACGAGTGTACACTGTTGTGCATATTTTATTATTAACAATTTTATGCATGCTGTTCTAATCGACGATACTACACTTAACTACCCGACACTAGGCTAGTCCTACTACGCTACGGCTGATTGATACGGGCACTAAGGCTAAGGCAGTCTGATAACATCAAATTACCATTATTTCAGGGTATGATATCATCACCCTCAGATCAAAATAAACAGGAGATTGTATCCCACTCTTTAATTTGAAATCTCCAAATTTCACAGCATTTACGCTATGTAACCGCACGATAACTGATTCAATATTAGAATCGTTCACATTCATAGACCCCGCCATTATTGTTATTGATTCAAGAATCACGTTGTAGAATCAACTTCCTGTAGCCAGGAGGCCAGGGTACTGTTTACAGCAACTTAGGATAGGTCTAGAAGGGAGGGGGAAGCCGCATGGGCGCCGACCCCAATGAGCACGATAATAATACGGATAAAATGTATAGTTTAAAAGCTTTAATAGTGTATTAGACTCTAGGCCTAGCTCTATATGTTAAAAATAACATAAATAAAATATAAATGAAAATGTGATTTTTTTTTTCAAATTTAAAACACAAGTAGATCGAGAGGCATATATAGATCTAAAATGCGGTGCACAAAATGAACCACATATCAACATTACTGTGTCGAGAGAACTAACCATTTAAAAATACTATTTTCCAACAAAAACTAAATGATTATTAGTGTGACTTCTGCTGGTGCTTATTTTATTATTATTATTTTTTTGCTCTACATAGAATGGAGGGATTACGATATTAAGAAAGAAATCACACAACGTATCATCACGAAAGTCACAAGCTTACTACTGGGTCACGATATAGAAATGACAATTATGTTTGTCATAGCACGTAGAAACAATAATAAACACCAGCAACGCGCGCCTGTATAGATAGAGTTTCTTCAAGGTATCACTTCGGGCTCAACCCCCCCCCCCCCCCCCCCCGTTGCAGAGAGTTGTATTAGTTTTCATTTAATTTGTTAGAATTACATATATTCGTTTATTTTAAATGTTACTACTGCAACTGCATTAATATTTTTCTATTTCTTACTTAAATCCACTGACGAATCTACATAGAACCTTCTGCTGCGTTTAGTGCAGAGGCGTAGCGAGGGGGGGGGGGTGGGTGGGCGGGGGGTGCGGACCGCACCGGGTGACACCATTTAGGTGACACCAAGGCAAAAAATAGAAAACTATATAGAGAAAAACTTGAGGGGGGGTGCAAATCGAAAGTCTGAGGAGGTGCAAATCGAAAGTTTGGGGGGGGGGGGGGGGGGTGCAGATCAAAAATTTGAAAGTTTGTCCCCGGGAAGTGTCGCTGCGCCTCTGGGGGGGGGGGGGGGGTGACACCATTAAGTGCCGCACCGGGTGATACGCGACCTCGCTACGCCACTGGTTTAGTGGAAACCATCTTTTCCATTCGGTGCCCATATTGAGGCGGCAAAAATTAGTGGAAAAATTATGATTTAATCTATATAGTTTCGCGTTACGTCAATGTAAGTATTTTGTTGGTTTAATTTAAATAGGACTTATAGAACTGGGTAAGAATCATTAATTCAAAACATATACGTAGACAGTTTCTTAACAGATTAGCAAGTGTGGCAATATCGTCTAAGTTATATTTATTAATACGATTTTACAAAATTAAGTTTCTCAAAAGTTGTATTGCTGATGGAAGATTGCACAAATATAAAATAGTGTTTTTCTTAATTACTGAAATATCCTGAAATTTCAACTCCTACTATTTTTTAAAAATTTGTCTTTTTATTTTTCTATAGCTTACGCTTATGTCGTAAGATGTTCAATAAATGATTGAAAAAGTCAATAATGTTTTACTGACATATTATTATTCTCATGCAGACAACTAAATGACGTCATTTTATTTAATGTGATAACTTACGCTCGTAGAATGGTGAGGTGTTTTAATTAAAATCAACACCGTAACACTTTAGAGTTTAGAGTGTTCTATGTTTGGTATGATTGATACATTAATATTTTTACAGCTTTCGTGTATAATATTCTAATAATTAAGATATGATAATTGGTCATTTAAAATATATTCAATATTTCTTTTTATAAAAGTTGCGTCGTGCAACGAAAAATCTTTAAATATACACAAGTTTGGTAAAAATATACAACTCAGTTTTGACTTAAGTGAACTACGATCAACCTCAATAATTAGCACATAAGCCTCAATACGGTTTTCTCAAAGGCCAGTGCAGGGCCTAGTCGGGACGGCTAATATATAAATAAAGGAAAGCTGTCATAATTTGATGTATTAACCATTTATCTACCTTTTTATTTCCCAATAAATCTTTATATTTTTACTTTCTCGGTTTTGAGAAATAAAAATAATTAATTTTTAAGTTACAGCTGCGCAATAGGCCTACGATCTATTAATTATTAAATTTTTAATATTGATAGTGTGTTGTTATTGCGGGTTTTTCTGGTGGAAGTACCGAATGTGTTGGCTTGTTTGAATTTGCTGTATGTTACCCGAAGAGCATGTGCAATTTGTTTTTCTTAGATCTCTTGGAGTAGATACCAAGGGTTCGCGCCAGATTTCTAAAGTCTTTTTCATTTTTATAATTCATGTACAATATCTAAAAATGCCGCTTCTAGGTAAAAAGGTATTTACCATAGGAGCTAATTCTCCAAAAAAGGAATCAGAGGATGCGCCGTATATGATACCGCACACCAAAGAACGTTTTCAATCCAAGTCGTATCCTAGCTTTTTTTTTTTTGTCATCAGATTTCTTTTTGTCCTGTCGTTATTGTTCTAATATTTTTAATGAATGTTTTGTATTCTTACTAATCTTACTTAAACCAAATTGCATTATAAATGTAGATAAGGACTGGTTTAGATCTGTTTACTAAGAGCCTAAGACTGGTTGTCTAGAGTCTAGATCATAAGTAAACTAGAGTAGAGTGTGTGTTGATGAACTTGAAGCATTCAATGGATTTTTTGTACCAGTGTAGTGTAGTGTTAGACTCTTCTTACAAAAGGGGTGTTAAGTTACTGGTGATTAACTAAAAAATACACATATTGCTAGCTAACGTCAATGCTAACCCTAGTCCTACCTTGGGGTCATCTATAAATGATGTCACACTTTTTTGGATGGCTTTTCCTCCCCGACTCCCCTCTGTCGCATGGCACAAAAAGCTAGATCTAGACGAGTGTGACGTCATTTATGGACAACCCCCTTACCCTAATTTCTAACTTTAAAACTAGTCAAGATTACAATTTAAAAAATACCACAAACAACAACCTAACACACCTATAGTTGGAAGACACATTGGTATCCTCAATCATCCAAAATCTTGTTAAGTATCATTATTTCAGAATTAGTGTAATGTTACGGATAGAAATTAATAATCTAAGGTTAGGACTAGGGAAAGTCTTAGAGGGTAGGCCTATGTGTTATACAATGTTTATACCAGTGTTTGGTACGCCACAAAAATGGAATTAACCTAAAGAATACAAATATGTCTTGCGAATGTCAACGCTAACCCTAATACAACAATAGCCCTAGCCCTAATTTCAAAGGATAACTCCAAACTAAATCAGAGACTACTAACAGTTACTAACACCTATTTTTAGACGAGTATCATCAGATATCTGTAATACCAATACTCCAATCTTTTAGCTAGGCCTTTATTTTGTTATTAGCAACACACATTAAGATCACTTGGAGTTGCAGTAACATCCTACTATATAAAAGCCCATGTGCGCACTTTTCAAAGAAACTCCTATGGCAGGGTTATGACTAACTTCAGTTTAAAGTATGATCTGCAATATTAAACTCATGTTTCATTAATATTATAAAGCATTAAGGCCCTTTATATTAAAATTTGATGGACTTCACAACTCTATCACTAACTTATGTATGCCTTATTCGTTTTATTTACTGATACCTCATTTTATTTGTTATTGCACTATTTGATCCACTTTTTTCAAGTTAGATCTTTTGTACCATATTTGTTATACTTGCATTTTCCTTAACCATATGTAAGTGAATATGAAAAGCGTAAAGACCTGTACTCTCAAAATATATGGACTTGTCGTGCCACCGGACATACCAACCTAACACATGAAGAAGCTTATAAATCAGAGATCAGCATAACAGAACAACTTTCCTCACAGTTCCCTAAGTGTTTTGAGAAAGATGTACTTGAAGTTGTGCATCATAGTAAGTTTGCATATTTGTTTTATATTATCGCTTGTTTCTACAAGTTAATGCTTTAAAGTATTTTTTCTTAAATGTTGTATATATTTTGACAATCAACTTGAATCAACCCAGTTGATTATGATGCAGATCACTGATCAATTTGTTACTTGCATTAACAGCTCATTGGTTGTTATACAATCAAGACTTAATACATTTTAAATGAACTATATTTTAAAAATGAACTTCCTGTTTAAAAAATTCTATCTATAAATGAATGCATAAAGCTGAACTATTGTAACTGCTAAACATTTATGTTGACACACTGTTTTCTTTTCTTTAGATACTGTAAGTTTAGAAACATTGGTTGATAAAGCTTGGTGGAAACTACACCAACAATTTGTGGTCGGGGAAAAAGTGAATCTGAAGGTTAAAGTTGCCGACAGGCTGTAAGTTGTATTTTATAATACATTAATTAAGCCTACGTTATTTTTGTTGTGATTTTAAACTTTTTCTTTAATATTTTTTCTCCCTACATTTAATGGTTTTCTTTTCTGGCAATACAAAATTGTGTGCTGATATGGATTCGCTGTTAGGATTAGGGTTTGAAGTACAAATTTAATATTAGTAATTAATAAGACGATAAATTAACTACCCGTTATTTGTGTCATGATGTAATTTTGTTTGTACAAAATTGTTTTATATAAAGAACGAGCCGGCCCGCGGCATAACATACGCCGCTATTTAGTTGTTTCTAATTTTCAATAATTCATAATTTGTGAATTCGACAGTACAAACGCTGACACTGAAAATATTTCTTTAAAACACTATAAGTAGCTCGTTAAGGACCATAACCCCCCCCCTTCCTTCCCTCCCCCCCTACTCCCCCCCCCCCCCTACGTTTAAAATCGTTGGCTCTGCTTGTAAACATTTAGAGTGAACATAGCTCACTAAAACCATGTAGGGGTGGGGAGGTAGGGAGAGCGTTTGCAGCTTGTTTTCTAACGGCTCGAAGAAGAGAATTATATATATAGATAGAATTATAGTCTAAAAAAAGGATTTACTCCTATAGAACAAGAGAGAAGTAAAGTTTTCCCTTTCTTCAAAAAGGGCTTTAAAACCTAACATTTTTTAATTACATTTAAAAAAAAAAATTTCTTTCAGTATTCCTGCTAAAGTTATAGCTGTTGACAGCAGTCATTCTGAAAACAAAGCAAATGGTTCATGCAATTCACCATCAAGTGACAAGGAAAACAGCACAGATGAAAAAGAGAAAGATCATTCACCTAAAAAATGGGTTCCTCCTAAGGTAATTTACAGCATTCTAACAAATGTGTTTAACATAGTTTAAAACCTGATAGGATTCTTTTTCAATGATTTATTATTTATTACAAAAATTCTTGGAGCATAGGCCATTGACAACATCCATGCTTTTCTTTTATTTTTCCATTTCTTTCTTTTTGTCTATTATTTTCATTTCATTTTCAATTTCTGTATGCTGTGTGTTTTAGGGTCCCTTTTTTTCCTTGATTCTTGTGGATTCTATCACATGCTTTGTTTAGTAGTACTAGTCGATGTTTCCCTCGACAAATGGCCAACCCATCTCTACCTTCTTTTCCTAATACCTTGCTCCACTAACAGGACTAATGTCAGGACTTTTGTATTAACTGATGTAATTTATTTTTACAGATGTTGCCCTACAACTACAGTATTGAACTTGAAAATGAAGCCAAAGTGATCCATTCTGTTCCAGGAGCTGATCTGCAGTAAGTTTTAGATACGTAGCCTAATAAATATGTAGCCATTAGTTTTTTTCCCTGGAGACTTCTTATTTTTTACTCATTGCGGTTTTGTCTTATGCATTCTTGTGTTTTTTATCATAGGCGTGTAGAGAAGGCTCCGTCCAAAGATCTATTGCGACTTTTTATACGGGTATCAGCTCTTCGCTCAGGAACTACGGCCACTAGTCCTTGGGTTGTTAATGCTGATTTAGTGAAACAGTATAAACTTGTTAGCAAATTTGCTGATTTTTTCCTCTCCCCTGTTAAGGTAAGCTTTAGATACTCTGGCTATCATTTGTAAATCAGTTAATTTAGTTAAAAGTAAAATAACAAAAAATGTCTATAAAATGTGAACTTTTTTTTATTGTAGATGTCAGAAGCTCTTAAAAAAGCTGAAGAAAATGGAAATAAAAGAAAATTATCAAATGGAGCCTGCAAGTCTGCTGCAAAGAAATTAAAACTTGATAAATCAGGAGAAAAATCAAAGAAAGAACAGCAACTCAAAACTGTCCAGCTTAACAAGAAAGTGAAAGATAAGGACTCCACACCTAAATCTAAAAAAGATAAGTCTACCCCAAAACAGAAAACACCACTGAAAAAAATTTCAGCCTCTCCGAAAAAGAAGTCTCAAGATTCAGCCATTGTTGTATCTGACACTGATTCTGAAGATGGAATTACCTTAGCCAAGCTCAAACGCCAGAGTTCAGGAGCCAATGGGGGTTCAGATGTCCCCCTTTCCCAGCTAGCTGAACAAAGCACCCCGAAGAAAAAGAAGAAAGGTAGTGAATCCAGTGATGAAGACATACCCCTCAGCAAAATCACCCCTTCCACCCCTAAAAAGCTCTCCCCTAAGAAAATGACCACAGGCACCCCAAAAAAACCGGTCTCGTCCAATAATAAAAATAATACATCTTTAAAAAAGAGCACTAAAAAGAAAAAAGATAAAGATGCGGATAAAAAGAAAGGAGGGATGAAACAAGTGACACTGTACGATTTGACTAAAAAAGGGAAAACTGTTGTTTCCACGCCACAGAAAAAATCCCCTCCAAAAACGCCCAAATCGCCATCTAAGCCCCCACCAACACCAGCGATTGTGCGCAGACTTCTAAACATGAAGAGGGAAACACTGAACGAGAAGATGAAATACTCCATGCTGCTCAAGAAAGCCGTGTCTGTCTTAACTGCTGCGCAGATTAAGAACTTGCCAGATAAGCTCAAAGATGAGTTTGAGCACAAAAAACGCTTCATCGAAGAGAAGCAAAAAATGGCTAAAATGACACCGGAGGAGAGGGAAGCTTACCTGAAAGAGAAAAGAGAACAGGCAAAGCAGATCCAGAAGCAGAAGCTGCTCCAGAAGTTGAAGGACAAGAGAAGAAGATTTGAGGACACTGACCTTGACCTGACGCCGTTACCCCAAGCCACTCTGGTCCCCACGCCCGATGGCTTCCCCAATACATTGTTTGGGGATGTTGCCATGGTGACGGAGTTCATTAACTGCTTTGGTGGTCTGTTGATGCCAGAATCTGAATATCCTATTTACACTGATGCCTTAATGAAAGCTCTGGTTGGCGGTTCTTCTGGGTTTACTTACTTGTCACGAGTACTAAACGTACTTTTACAAACACTGCTACAGGATCAAATTGCCAAGGTATAGTTAACTTTATTTATTTAAAGGTTATAATAATTCTGTGATACTGGTATAAACTATTTCCTCAACTTGTGAATTTTTTGTTTTTAGGGATATAAAGAACTCAATACACAGTTATCTGATATAGCAGTGAGTGCTTATACAGCTTCTGAACTGGTGAGACTGTGTTTGCGCTGTGAAGATAAGGAAGAAGATGAAAATGAAGGGGATGTCGTAAGTAACATTTAACCTTAGTGCTCTGTTATAATTGTTTCGCCTTTCAACCAGTGTTACTTTCAGCCATCTCTCTGGATGTAATTGAAATAATATAAAATTTACATAGAAATAGCAAAATTTAACCAGTGTCCGCCCAATCCCCCTTAGGGAAAATGGTCTGAAACAAAACTGCTTTCCATTTTTATAATCTTCCATTGAAAAGAATAGTTTCAACTAAATGTATTAGACTTTTTTGTGCAATAAAGTATTATATGTTTCTTAGGTTTAGTAAGTCATCATTACAAACTCAGTTAAACAAAGAAAATTGTCATTTTATGTGCATTTTTAACATGATTTACTATTTTCAGCCTGAAGAATACATCCACTTATTAAAGGATTCAGAATTTTATCAACTTGATGTTGAACAAAAATTATGTGTGTTACGAGGGTTATGTTCACGTGTGCTAGCCACATACTCTGTTCAAGATTATATGGAAGAGCAACAGCGTGCAGCAAATGTTCTTACGTAAGTTTTTTTAGTTGTATATGATCATTTGTGAAAATAATAGATTCATGATCTTTATGTCTTCAATAACTTTTTTTTTTTTTGATACTGTACCCTTTACTCTTTTTTTTTAAATATTGCCTCTAAGTACTTTCAAACAATCATTTACTTGATCGCAATTTCCATATTAGTCTGGTGTTATATATTTGGCAATGATATCCACAATACTAATGTATTGGTCAGAATTTCCACATTATTTGTTGGCCATTCTGTTCATTATTTCCCCATGTCTTATTCAGGAGTATTTTTAATCCATATTTAAAAACCTTTTTGGAACCTAGGAGGCAAAAAAATACAGAAATGAAACAAATAGCTGCACAAAAAAAAACTGGCAAACAAAATACACCAGGGGATAAAACAGACAAGAAAGGCAAGGAAGACAAGCCTGCAGTAACACAGTCGGGCACCCTCAGTATAAATAGTTTTTACGGCAAGGAGGAAGAGGACAGTGCCGAGGATTCCACCAACTGGAGATCCATTGTGAAGAGACGCAGGGAGTTGGCAGCCAAAGCAGCAGCTGAGAAGGAGAAGCTTGAGAAAGAGAAGATGGCAATGAGGCAAAAAGAATACCAGGTATTTTTTTTCTGGCAATTCACATAGCGGCGACACATAGAATATACGCTTTTGAAATGTGAATCGTTGTTAAGGACTAGGTTTAACAGGTTTTTTTTTTGGCAATTCACATGGTGGCGACACATAGTGTATATACATTTGAAATGTGAATTGTTGTTATCAGGTCCTTTTTTAGGCAATTCTCATAGCGGCTACAAATAGTGTATATGTTATGTTCAAAGCCCGTAGTGCGGCCAAAGCACGCATTGGCCGGCTCTCTTGGCCCTCCAATGTGTGCTTTGGCAGACTTCGGGCTTTGACTGTAACATATATACATTTGAAATGTAAACTGTTGTTAAGGACTAGGTTATCAGGTATTATTTTAACACCTTACATAGCGACTACACATGGTGTATATGCATTTGAAATGTGAATTGTTGTTAAGGACTGGGTTATCTGGTATATTTTAATAATATAGTGGCTACACATGGTGTATATACATTGGTAATGTTTTGTAGGTGAGTTGTTGCAAAGGACTAGATATTTGGGAATTTTTCTTAGAATGTAACTTTAGAGGCTTCAAATGCCAATGTATACATTTGTCATGATGTTTTTAGGTGAATTGTTGATAAGGACTAAATTAGAAAATTGCCACTTAGTACTCGCCTAATCATTATTTCTCATGATTTATTTTATGGCTTAATTATAGATTAGGGAGGATAGTAATGTTGTTAGATTTCTATGGCAAATTTTTCTAGTTCTATGAAGTACAGGAATGTTACGCAAAAGAATAGCAAGCTTCTGATAGGTATATTTAAAAAAAATTTTTTTGTGTAAATGACTACTTAGAACTCTTTCAACAATAAATTTAATTACAGGAAGAAAAGCAGAAGGAAAAGATGAGGAAAAAGCAGGAACAAATAGCTGAGGCAATCAATTTGGCAAGAATGGTTTTAAGACAGGAAACTGTTGGCACGGACAGAAATCACGACAGATATTGGGTGTTCACAAATACAACACCTGGATTATATGTTGAGAAAGGTGAGACAATTCGGCAGGAACTTTTATAGACCACTGCTACTTTGCACAAAAAATGACTTATTGTTATTAAAATTAATTTTTTAAATGCATCATATTCGCTATCAACTCCTCAGTTTTGATACAACATGCCTTGGTGAACTATGTCTTTAGGACTGTTTCCAAATCAGAGTGTGTAATGTGGATGTCCGTCCACATATTGAATTTTACAAAATACTTACATCTAGAAATTAAAAAATACTGCATGTAAAATGTATGAATTAAATCGGCAGTTCTCGTTTTTAAAAAAAACCAGCTCAGTGGTAGAACAAAGGTATCACAGAAGTAACTGTATACCGCCTGACTTAAAAAAGAGAGGCTAATTTTTTTACCATCGCAAGGCGGGCATTGACCTTGACATTTTCTCAAAAAAATTCACGGTTATTGCTGCTGTGTACCATATCATTTTCTAATGTGACTAATAGTAGTTTGCAGTTTAGAAAAGAAGAGCTTGAATTCTTTTACACTGAATATTTTGTTCTTATTTTGGAAGTTCAAATTTATATAGCCAGGGGAAGTAACCTTTAACATAGTTCCCTATAGCCATGCCACCCAGAGACGTCATGTAATAATGACATTAAAAATAGGGATCATTGCTTCTTATTTTAAAAGACTTGAATATTGAAATCCTTACGTGAATTTTGTCTGTTCTTTACTATTTAATCAAATATATATTTTATTATTTGACTCTAGTAGAACCTCCAAACAATAGTTGTATTAAATTTGTAATTTGAAGACATGTAAATTTCAAAATTTAATAGCGGTAATTGACAAGGATAGCTTGGTCTAATATGTATGTTTCAATATAACCATATTAAATAGACGAGAAAAATGGCCCTTTGAGGAAAGATACAATTGAGGAAAGATACAATGGGCGCTAGGTTGATAGTGCTGTCTATTTTCTCCTTGATAGTGCTATTTTCTCCGTACTTTAATTTATACAAAATATAGTCATAGGCATATCCCTAAACCATGCACCTAATCTCATTCATGACAAAAGTCGCATTTAGAGTTTCTTTCAGGCAACTCTACTTGGGAGGAGGAGGCTTCGTCTCCCCCCCCCCCCCCACACGCACACACACACTCCAAAACATGTCTACCGTTCCATTCAACGAAATATAATTATATACTTTTTCCAGTGTCCGCCCCCTCCCAAAAAATTCTATCCTCGCCCTGAAAATTTCAAGTACCCCCACCCCTCTCCAGGGAGGAAAAAGTCTGAAAGAAACACTGGTCGCATTGGTAGATCATACAAACTAAAGGAAGAATCTGGGCGGGGCTTTGCCCCTAACAGAAGAGATGCTTGAAAAAAAAATGCACACTATTAGAAAAAGTTCCCCCTCCGAGGAGGAAAAAGTCTGAAAGAAACACTGGTGTCGCGCTTAGCCACTACCCGAAGAATTGCATTAAAGAAATTGCAAGTAAACCACTTTTTAGATTAGACACATTAGAAATTTCTTTTGAGTTGGGGAGGGGGGGGGGCTCAGACGTTCTTACGCGGGGGTGGGGCTTCGCCCCTACCTGAAGAATTGTATGAAAAAAACTTCACGCAAACCACTTAGATTAGACAAAATTGCCTTTTTATTCAAAGTTCACTCGAGAATCTATGACGTCATATTACTGTGTGCACTCTCCGGCTTGATATTATTTTCTACTATATGCTAAATGTGACGTCATATTTAGTTTTCGTTTCACTGTGAAAGTTTTTATATTGCTTGTGTTTTTTCTAGAGCGTTCTTGTCAGATACATAGATACACAGATAGATACACAGACAGCGAAACTATTATATAGAATGGGGGTAGACCAGGGGTTAAAATAGATGGGGGTATAAAACAGATGGGGGTAGACCAGGGGTCCGCAACCATTTGAGAAGGAAGAGATAAAAGTTACAATTTACAAAATTTCCTAATTTTTTTAAAGAGCCACTAACATTTCTTTATGCACTTTGTAGTGGACAGTGTTTCTTCCATTTTTCTCTTAATTTGGGGGGGGGGGGGGTGCAGAAAAATGTCTACCCTCACCCAACAAAATAGAAATTCTATAGGAAATAAATACTTTTACTAGCATCCATCCACACCCCACCCCCGAAAATTCAAGTGTCCCCCTGTCAGCTGTCCATATACACTCTACTCCACCTATTCTCATTGTTTTTTATTTTGTTTAAAATTGTTTATACAGTATAATATTTTTTTAGTTTTGAAAATAAAATAATATAATTATTATGGAACTGGCGAGCCGCATATTGACACCAAAAGAGGCAGCAGGTTGCCGGCCCCTGGGGTAGACAGATTGTAAAGGTGCAAACTTATTTGATTGGTTAAAGGGAAGTCTTGTGACAACAGGCTTGGAAACCAGCAGTTTCCAAACTTCTGGTCTATATAAGAACTTAGCTTTTGATGTTAAATGAAAATGGTATGGAGAAGCCTGTTTGCTTGAAGGCACAGTCATCAATAACACCCATAAAAAATGTGTGGACTGTATCTGTACCATGCTCAGTTATTTGTATGACTCTTATGTTACTTGTACTAAACTGACGAGTTAAATTAATTTTATTTGTTAATTTTTTTCTAGGCTGGATGGGTGAGGAAGTGAACTACAGTGTAAAGGTTGAAGTTCCTAAGGGTGATTCTGATGAAGAGGAATCCTCCGAGAGTGATGAAGAGGAGGAGGAGGACAATTCTGCTGTTAAAGAAGAGAACAGTACAGCCCCTCATAAAACTGTGTACAGAGCCAGGAGACATGTCATAGAAAAAAGGTAGCTTGAGCACACGATGTTGATTTATTAATATCATTCCCATTTCATTTGAGCATAAACTATTTGTTTATGTCATTCCTATTTCATAAGTTGTTTCATTTGGTTTTTACACAATTCTATTTCATTTGAGCATACACTATTTGTTTATGTCATTCCTATTACATAAGTCGTTTCATTCTGTTTTTAAATTCACTCTTTATTTGTTAACAGCATTTCTAGTGTGTAAGTGATTTCATTTTGATTTTACAGATTCACTGTTGATTTGTTAATGTTGTTCCTATTTCAAAAGTTGTTTCATTTTGTTTTTACACATTCACTGTTCATGTGTTCATAGCATTCCTATTTTATAGGTAGTTTTATTTTGTTTTTAAACATTCAATGTTAATTTGTAAATAGCTTTTCTATTTTGTAATTTTTATTTTATTCTATTTTTAAAAAAAATAATTTTGCATTCCAATTCACTATTTGTTATTGGTATTTCTATTTCATGTATAATTTGATTTTGTTTTTACACTTTACGTAACTACAATGTGTTTCTCTCTATTTTAGTATACCTCATGCTGGGCAAAATCTGTGGTTTACATATCGATCTCAGAAGGCCCTAGATGGGCTTTTAAAAGCCTTGCACCCTCAGGGTATCAGGGAGTCTCAGCTTAAGACAGAGATTAAACGTCGGTATGATGATATATCAAGAGCTATAGTCCAGGTTGGTTGCTGTCATTTTGTTTTTAATAGTAGATGTAGTATTTTAGATTAATTTCTCTTCGTTCTTTAAGATGAATGTATGTGAAATAGAGTTTTAATGCTAAATTTATGCAAGATATTTCATGCAATGTGAACTCAACCAGTAGAAAGTGAACATCCATAGAAAATTGTTTTTAAAAAGTTATTTTATAATTTAAAAGTAAATTCTTACATCATACCGTTGAGCATTAACTTATGCATATCACTTCCTGTTTTGTAATATATTCCTCAAAATTATAAACCAAAGAAAAAAACAACAAAAAAGCGTAATATTGTAAAATGTTCTTGAAGTAAATAATTTATTTATGATTTATTTAGGCCCAAAGAACAAACCTTGAGTTGCGAGATTCAGACGGGGATGTAGAGATGATGGCTGGATTTAAGAAGGAGTTGTCTGACATGGAGCTCCGTCTGAGAAATGGTGGTCTTGGAGGCGTTTCTGACTTTGATGAGTGGGAGTCTAAGTTGATGGATGCAACAGAAATTGCTGATATGGTACAGTATTTTTGTATTTGTAATTTGTAAAGGGTCTGCATTGTCAAGTCAGTAAAGCTCATGGCTGTTAAATCAAAAAGTTTTGAGTTCGAACCCCAGGGTAGATGAGGCCTCAATAGCGAGGGACAGCAACTCTTCTAGGAGAGACAAATCCAAAATCAAACAACTGCTGCCTTGTAGTTTGTTGTTGGTTGGACAAAGGCTATGAAAGCAAATCTAAAAATCACGTAACACTTAATTCTGTTAACGAAGAAGAAATAAGTTATAATAATGTTTCTTACTCTTTTATTTTCTTCATCTAATCCTTTTTGTCTTTAAACAGAGTGAATGTTTGTTACAAGTTAAAGATGGAATTTTAGAGAAATTCCTTCAAGGTTTTATGAAGCCCAGTAACAAATCAAGTGAAACCGAAAAGAAAGAAGAAATAAGCGATGAAGAAGGCAGCAAAAATAATGGTATGTTGGAAAGATTCTTTTATATAAAATAGTATTAATCATTTTTTTTTAAAATTGTTACAAAACTGACTTTGTTTTATATCATTGAATAGGTTAAAAGATTATTTTATTTATTATGTTATTGATACTTTGTTGTATTTACTATTTTAACAAAAAAACATTATTAAACCATTAGTTGCTGCACCTTTTTGGGTTTCATCACAGAAAATCTTCCAGCAACTTATATTTTATTGAAACATAACACCAATATCCCAAGCATTGCATCTTGATTTCTAAAGGGCAATTATCCATGCGCTCTCATACAATGGAGCCATTTTTTTTAAGCAAATTTTTTTTTTCTCCTGTTAGATGTGGTCACAGAAAAACACCCAGAGAGGGAGGCAAAGAGGGAGAAATCAATCAGAGAGTGGAGAGAGGCAGTGGAAGGGTGTCAGACACTGTCTAGGTTACACGTCTTAATGGCCATGTTGGATTGTTGTATAAAGTGGGAAAAATCTGCAGAAAATGCTGTAAGTTTTTTTTTTTAAATAAATTATTTATGAAATATAGATTTAAAAAAATTGGATTTGATTATTCATTTATAAAATAAATTTATAATTTTTTTTTCGTTTACTTCAGAAATGCAAAATCTGCAGAAAGAAATGTGATGAAACTCGCCTTCTGTTGTGCGACGAGTGTAATCAAGCTTTCCATATGTACTGCTTAAGGCCTGCTCTATCTAAACTGCCCAGTGGGGATTGGTTCTGTCCAGCCTGCATGGTAAAAAAAAAAGTTTTCTTTTTTTATTCAGTAAAATAGTGTTTAAATTATGTTGTCAATAAAGTAGTCTATCTACAAAGTTGTATATCATTATTATTCTATTTAATACCCTCCAATTTTCAGCCACGTCGACCCCAGTCAAGACCTCTTGAGGTATGTTAGTTTTTAAATTTAATTACACAGCTTAATTTTACTGATGTTTTACAGTTAATAGTATCATTGTGTTAATTTTAAAATATTTTTTTACAAATATATTTTATTCACAATCTGATGTTTCATCTTCATTTTCTTTTTCCATCTTAAAAATTAGTCTGAGAGTGAAGCCGAGGAAAATGAGGATAAAGAGGATGTTTGCAGGGAGTGTGGCGGATCTGACAAACTCATTTTTTGTACCAAATGTCCGGCAGCATTCCATACACAGTGTCACAATCCACCTCTTAGGCACCCTCCCAGGTATTTATGTTTATGCTTTAGTATGTTTGTGGCGGTGTGGCCTAGAGGGCTAGACTGCTAACCCGAAAGTCTCGAGTTCAAATCCGGGTTCAAGTCAGTAGAATGTCCCTGAGTCTACCCTGTTCTAATGGGTACCTAACTTACATTAGGGAAAGTAAAGGTGGCTGGGCTTAGTGCTGTCTACAATATCCCTTCATATGCTGAGGTCACAGAAACAGGTGAACTCTACTTTACTTGCCAGACAGATTGTCAGTTTCAAAATGAGAACTACCGGTTCTGATTAAGCCTAGCAATAAAAAAAAAATTATGTTTTTATTATATAAGCTCTGAACTTTTTGTAGCTCAATGTATTGGAAGATATTCAGTTTAATGTAAATTTAGATAAAAGAAGCATAGGAATATCCAATTAGAAACGGAATTACTAAAACAACTCTGCTGACCGAGCAAGAGGTACCATCAGTGACCAGTAGTATGACATATTTTACAGATTTATTTCAAGCTTTAAGCTACCCATGATTCTCTACCAAAGTTCTTAGCCTGACTTAGTGATGCGGGTTAAAAAATAGCCAGACATCTGCACTATAAGAAATGTATCTCCTTGTTGAATTTTTAAGGAACCATACATCATCTTGTCTTATCCTCTGACAAATCATATAGTGTTTACTGTATTTATTGTTCTTTTTGCTAAGTGCACATTTTTTCTACTGTTTTATTTTCATATAGTTCACAGTTATTTTAATACTTTTTTTTTCCTCTTAGGGGTGTTTGGGAGTGTTGTGATTGTAAAAATGGTGCTAATGACAGGCGAAGAGGCAAATATGCTAGAAAAGGTATTGATGGAGTTTTTTACTCTAAATTTATTAAATAGTGATTAAACGGGTAGTGTCACTATCCTCACAAATTAAAGACAATTAAGTTACAATGTACGTTTTGATCCAAGGTCTTTCATCAACACTCAACACCAGGATAAAGACTAGACATAAAGGACAAACAGTGACATAATTTTGGACTTAGTTTGACAGTGAAAATACATCTTGTCTGAAGGCCATGATTATTCAACTAGATTTTAAAATAATTGTTGCAGGTGCTGGCTGTATAAAGTGATGTCCTTTTTTAACACCAAACTTTATTTTATTTTAGTTTATAAGAATTTAATTTATACAAGGTCTAATGAGATACAATATTCATCAGTAGCTCCCAAACGCAACTACCGCCAAGAGATGACTGCAAGTGAGGAGGAAGAAGATGAAGAAGAAGAGGAAGAAAGTGAGGAGGAAGTCACGCCACAGAGGACGAGATCTCACCCGGGTAGACCCAAGGGTTCAACACGCAGCAGGGATAAAAGCCAGACCTCGTCACAGCCGTCAGGTCACACGAGGTCACGCAGCGGTAACCAGCGAGATGGAAGTTTTAACCAGACGCCAGCCTCGCGGACTTCTCGTAGAGGTCCTTCTGAGTTGTCAGTGAGTGAAGATTATTTTGTTTACGCAACTTCAAAATCAGATTAGTTTTATAAAATAATCTTTGGTATTATATTCAGCTCGTTTGAAAGAAGGTGAAAGTTTATGAAAAATGTAGTTTAAACTGTGATAATGTCTTTCAGTTGTGTGAGGAAATTTTACACAAAGTTATGAAACACAAGTCTTCATGGCCATTTTTAGAGCCTGTTGATAAAAAATCTGTAAGTAGTTTTATTACAATGTGTGTGTAATTAAATACTTCATTAACCTTTTAACATCTAGCCTGACTAAAAGATGTTTCATTTTATTCTATATATTTAGTGAAAAATATTTGTATGCTAAAATCTAAAAAAATATTTTGTTAAGTATAATTCTATTTCATGTTCTTTCATCAGTTTAAAAATTATTTTCAGGGATTGCAAAAAGGCAGTTATTCATTTGTTAATTAATTTTCTATTTTAATTCATGGATGACTTTTATATTTTAAAAAAATTTTCTCGGTAGGTGCCTGACTACTATACAGTAATTAAGAAGCCGATGGATTTTCAAACAATGCTGAAGAAGTGTACACGGTTAAGCTATGCCTCTCCTCAAGAGTTTATAGAAGATGCAGCTCTTGTGTTTGAGAATGCTGAGGCCTATAATAAGGTAAGTAGTTATTGTCTAATTTCTGTCATGTGGTCACCGGAAAGATGCGCAACAGAAAACTGCACACAAAAAAAGTGTGCATGGGCATTTTTGTGTTCTTAAATCGAGCATTGTTAAACATTAACAAAGACTGACCACATGTACATTGTAGTATAATAAATTGAATTTCCACGAAATACAACAAAATTAAAGTGTATTAGTCTAGTTTGTGTTTGCGCAGTTTTCTGATTCCGCGTTTATCTGGGAACCCTGTCAGGTGCCTGCCTTGAATAATGAAAAGTTAAGCCAGTTGGGCATAGTAAGCACCACAGTCTTTTTATACTATGGATTATGCTTGCATAAGGGTACGATACTATGAATTCATTTTTTAAAGTGGTTTATTTTTATGCTGCATACATTTTTTTTGTTAACTGGACTAAATAGGTAGGTTTTTCTTTTTTTAATGCAGCCTGACAGTGAAGTTTTCAACTGCATGCGTGAGGTAGAGAAAGTTTTCAAAGATGCCCTACACAAGATGCTCCCCGACTGGCCTTTCTATAGGACTGTGGCGGAGAAAGAGGAGAACTCAAGTGGCAGTGATACTGGCAGACGCAGGTCTAGGAACAAATAATGCTGAGCACTGTTAGCGCTTAAAACAGGTCCTGTCTTGGAGGGTTGGACACAGAATGGTGTAAATAATAATGTAATGTATATAGCATAGCTGATTTTTAAAACCTTGTGTTATGTTATTAGAAAATTGTACCCTGATAGATATAAGTGACAACTTTATACGTATATTCTAATTTTTAGTTTACAAAAAATTGAAGGTTTACACAGAAAATCAGTCGATTGACTTTAAATAAAAATAAATAAATAAAATAGTACTCCAAGTGTGCTACTTCAAAAGCAATCAAGTTGTATATTACAGTATGTCATTCTTTTTTTTTCTGCGCATGGATCTTGGCATTACAAAGGTTACGCATCATGAATATTGTTATATATGTACATATATTGGTTTTTATTTTACTTGTACTTATGTTACAATGTTTGTCTTTTTAAAGACAACTTTTGTTAGATGTGTATTGAATGCTGAAACTTGAGCAAGATTTCCTCAAATGATGTTAGTTTTTTTTAACATAAATATAATATGATAACAAAGGTAACAGTAAGGGATATTTACGCAAAACATCAAACGTAGATTTTAATTATTTAGTAATTTCAAATTATCTACATCTCTTATGTGTTCCATTGTATCAAATGCTGAAAATGTATTTTAAATGCACAATTGGTCTCTTCATTTTGCATAGTGTTTTTTAAATAACCAAAGTGTATCATGATTTTTAAAAAAAATTGTATCATTTTATTTTATGAAATGTATATTGGTAAAAAAATATATTAGAAAAATGTCAAGAAATAGTCAAGGATAAAAATGTAACAGAACTCTATTTTATAGATGTCTGTTATATCTTCCGGTTAATCCTTGATTTTTGTTTTTTAAATTTTAATGCAAAATGTTCTTATTCTGAAATAATTTATTTTTGAATGTGCAAGATTAGGAAAAAAAAAATTCAGTCACACACAAACTGCTTAACAGGTTAATTCTATACAAAGAGCCTTAAGTTTGATTTTGTAGTATACAGTATTCTCGCCCTCTCTTCAGCATCTTGTACAGTTTTATTCACAAGCCGCACAATGTCTTTTTTTCATGCATGTGACTCCAGTTGATGTGTATATCTAGCAGTGCCATTTTATAACCTGCTGTACTATTTCATTGTTAGAATGCTTTTATGTATTTGAAAGCACATGTAAATCTCCTGCACTTAAGTTTAGATTTTTGTTGGTCTGATTATTTAACCAATACAAGCTCAACAACAATTGTGGGCAACACACTTGGTGAAAACGTTCTTGAGATAGGGTCTTTAAAATATTTAGGCAATAAATATATATAAATTAATTTTATAAATTTTATGTTACCCTGGGGAAAGTATTCAATGAAGTAAAATACTTAAATAAAAGTAAAAAAAAATTAAAATATTTTTGAGCGAAGCTGATGAAATAACTATACAAATAAGCGGGTCTAAAATAAGTTCATGATTGTTTTATATGATTATGTATTTTTTAAATAAATAAATAGTATAAAAATAATCACACATTATGAATGGCCCATACAGTTTTACATAGCTTAGATTAAAAAAAAAATTGTGAATATTGAGACAATGAAAAATGGTTGTGGAATAGTAAACTCAAATAAACTTTGGCTTCAGTCCTTTTTTTGAATGAAACATAATCTTATTTTAATCAGAGACCTGTTAAGCTAACAAGTTCTCCACTTATATTTATGTTGTAGCCCATGATGTCTTTAATGTTTTAAAAAAAATTTGTTTGAAAATAAATTGTGTATATAGCCTTTCTAAGTAAATGTACAAAGCAATTCTTGTGCATAACGTGCATTGTATTTGTATGACTGCCAAAGTTGTTTGAATGTATGTAGGTTGAGTGTTGTGAGAAAATAATGTTTTATTTTATAGAGACATACATAGTAAGATATAGAATGGCGTGTGTTAATGATTTTATTTGTTGAAAAAAATTCTGATGATGATGCTAACTGAAGATATATTCCATCCATTGAAACTAAAATACATTTTTAAGTGTTGACCAAAAAAAAAATAATAATGTATTTAAATTGTTTTGAACAGTTTTTTTTTTTTAGTTTTTGTCTTACTGTACAATGTGTGATCAGTGTTGTCATGGCAACAATGGTGGACCAAATAAACTTTGAGTTTAATGTGTGCTTTGTTTTTATTTCTTTTTCTACATGTTTGCCACTAATTAAAGAGCACATGGAAGTTTTGGATAACCCCACTCATCCTAGAGAAAGTTGTCTAAGGTTTTCTGTCATCTTATTTCAGTTGAAATTTCATAGAGCAATATAAACTCAAAATCACTATATATATACATATATAATATATATAAATGGAAATTAAATCAAATTACTTAACTCCCACCACATCCTCCACATCCCTTATGAATACTTATTGCCTACACCCCTGAAGATATTTATTTAAAAATTTTTGACTTTCTATTATTTCTTTAATCGTGTGTTTTCTATCACAGAAAAGTTTTAAATAATTGAAAGATAGTAATATTTTAAGAAAATAAAAACAAAGCTTTCCACTATCAACACAGATTTCCCCTTTATTCATAGTTAGCTAACCATTTTCATTGATAAAATCAATTCCACAGTTGTCGAGCTAGTGGCGTAGCGAGGTCGGGTGTCACCCCCTCGAACTTTCGATTTGCACCTCCCCCCTCAAATTTTTCTCTATATATTTTACTATTTTTTGCCTTGGTGTCACCCCCCTAAATGGTGTCACCCGGTGCGGTCTGCCAGCCCCCCCCCCTCTCGCTACGCCTCTGTGTCGAGCTGCTCTTTGAATTTTAATGAAATAAATAATTTTGTCAAGTGTACATAGTGAATAAAACAAAGTATTTTCACTTGCAAACTTGAAATCTATTTTGAAAATCAGTATGCCATTTTTACTTGCTCCTTTGCAGTTTATTTATAAGCTGAGTTAATGCAGGGTTTAAAAGAAATAATATAGGCCTATGTTTTATTTTTGCACCTGCATAGTAACTGCATAGTAATTTTTCCAAAATCTTATCTAAAAATAAAGTATTTTAATCAATTCCTATGTTTGAAAAGTTCTAAAACGCGAAATAGCGTCTAAAATTCGTTTTCTAACATTGATTTTTTATAATGCAAAAGTGTGACGTCGCACGATCTGACCCCCACCCCCCTCCCCCTCATCACACACCGTCACAAAATTACGGCCCCCCTCCCACCTACGAGTGCGACGTCATTTATGGACGACCCATATATATATATATATATATATATATATATATATATATATATATATATATATATATATATATATACCTTTGTTTATATATAATTAAATGAATTCTGGACCGTAAATCCGGCGGAAAGTCAGGGACTACTAGAAATAAAAATGAAGAGCGAAAGAACTTGACTTACTTGCCTTGAACAAAAGATGGAAAATAAGAGAATTTTTGTTCAAGGGAGACAACACTGGTGTCTTAAATTTTAAGGGCGTTAACTTCACACTTATTTAAACATTTTACAAACTGGTAACTTTTTTAATAATATATAAGTAAAATTAATTCATTAATTAAATTTATTATGTGAAATATTAACGCATATTAAAATTTTGAACATCATGTAGTTATTTTTATAAATAATTAAAATTATAAGTAAAACACGAATCTAACATTAAAATTTTCGAACCCTGCCCGGCGTACGTTTTTCGAGTTTATATTAACTTTTACACCTCTTGGTTAAGTGTTACATAAGTAAAAAAGTTGGCTTTCTTTGACAGCCGTAAATGGCTCCACATTAATTAAAAACAATATTATTGTACTCGTGGATGCGAGGCATGACTTCTATCCACCCCCAGACATCTTATACAGAAAGCACAAAACTAATCAAGATACCCGGAAAGGATATCTAATGCAAGTAGTCCCATGGAGACCCTACTGAGCATAGTTAAAACAAGAAAATTAAGTTGGCGTGAAGATGATACGTGAACTAAAGGCCTATCCAAAACAACATTGCATTTGCAAGCAACTATGCCAGGAGGGAGAAGAATGGGGGGGGGGGGGGGGAGAGTCAAAGATGTCAAACTTACAAGCAAGACCAACATGCTAGAACATTTTAAAACAAGATACCCAAAGACAGTTAAAAACAAGTGTTTTTTTTTAAAAATGGGACGGCATGGTCGAATGGTAGAGCGCGTGTCCTCTTACAAGAACGACTTGAGTTTGGGTCCCGGGGTAGAGTCGTCGCACGTCTTAAGACAACCCAACTCTGATGAGTACGTGTCTTACACTAACCCTTCAAGCAGGTGAACTCTACTTCACCTGCCAGCTTTCGAACGGGACCTTTAGTTGGTTTCATCCTTTTTTTTAAAGCATATCTGAGTTTATGAATTAAAAAATGGTTTTACTACGTAATGGTTTTATTTTACAATCTATTATCTATACACTTCTCTATAGTTTCGTTTTACCCGCTAGTTACACAGTGTAGTAGATATCCGAAAATCACATTTGACACTGACGTATAATATCTTGACTTCTATAAAAGGGCCCTATAGAGAAAATAGCTCTGACGGTAAACACGCGATGGATTAATTAATACACAGCGGTTAACTAGAAAAGCCTTAAATACTGAATAACTACTAAAATAAATAGATATTTGGCGCACCAACATTGCGGAAATACTCAGTTGTTCTGGACCGCAACCCCCCCCCCCCCCCAATGGATTTCAAGATACCTTGTTACACCATATTACAAAATAAGGAAGTAACGAAACCAATCCATTAAAGGGAAGTAACACTAATGTCTCAATTTGTAAAGGACAATGATAAAATTATTTTAATTTTAATTGAAATAATCGACAATTTTCAAACAAAAATAAACAATTTATAATATAACAATTTTTGTAAAAAAAAATTATAATACGGTCACAGATTAAAATAATAATAATAAAAAGATGTTTTGAAATATTTAATTAAATACACATTAAAACAGTTAACATTTAACTTTGAGTTTACTTGTTCAAATGTATAATTATGTATTACCTGGCAATTACAAGTAAAAGCAATACAATTAACACAAGTCACAAGTAAATAAAATACCCACCAAACAATTATAAAAATATAACCAGCCTAAAGAAAGACACGAAAAAAAAGAAAAAAAAATTAATTATAAATAATAATAATAAACTAATTAATAAATTAATAATGCTACCAAGCAGAAAAAGGTACCAAAAAAAAATTAAATAATAAAAAAAGCGTCACACCAAAACAAAATATATAACTCATCCAATAAAAATCTCAGACAAAAGAGAAGAAAATATTTTAAAATGTACAAAGAGGAAAAAAATGGAATATAATATATTCCCAAATAGTAAAGAATTGCCAAAAAAAAAAAACCCCAATAAACAAAAATAAAATATAACCAAACTAAAGAAAGATACAAAAAAAAAACAATACTAATTAAAAAAAAATAAACCACCAAACAGAAATTAGATAAAAAAAAAAGAAACAAATAAACATCACCCCATAGTAAAATATATAACTTATCCAATAAAAAAATATATAACTCATCCAATTAAAAAATATTAGACAATTCCAAAACTGAAAGGAAATAGAACCAAATAACATTAAACATATGCAAAAACAAAAAACAACTTTTAAAAACAGTCTGTGATATAATCTCAGGGTTGAAAACGGATTATAAACAACAAACAACAACAACAATTATAAGTACGCAATCGTAATCTTAACCTTTCACCAAACCCCCTCAAGAAGAAAAGATTTAGTCATATTTTGTCAGACTCTCGTAGATACACCCTGGACCGGCGCTACCTATAAGGCGAACTATGCGGTCGCCTAGGGCGCCATCCCTACGGGGGACGCAAATCGCTATTGTAAATCGCTATTATAAAAAAAGTACCAAATAATTAATAACTTTTATAAAAGAGTAGCGATCTTTTTCGGGGCCCAGGACGAACTATCAATTTTGCCCCCCCCCCCCCCACCCCAAAATTATGTCTATATAGGCCTATATTTATTCGTGATGGTAAAAATGCAACCCCACCTCTCCCTAATTTGAAAAGGTCGGGGCGCTTTTTACCAGTCACATAATTGATGTAGAAAACGATAAAATATGTTCGTAATTTAAATTTCGCACATTTCAAACGCTTATCTAATTTTAATAGGGCTTGTAAGTCTCGTTTTCTCTGACTTTGAATTAGAAATTTATCCTGGTGTATAGAGTTTTGTAACGACGGGGTGTTTAAAGTATTGTACTTGTTTGGTAAGTTTAGATGAATCGTTTAGATTTGGGAGTAACGGCGGAAGGCTGTTGCTGATATGGTTTCGTAGGTTTAAAAATTTAAAGTGTCATAATTTTTATTCGGCTGTTTTGTAGTTGAAGGTCAAGTGGAATCTGATTGGTAATAGAGAAATGAGAATGCAATTTTTGTTATATATAATCACTAATTCTAGCATGTCTAAAACAGCTACCCGAATTTGATTTTTCGAAAGGCGTCCCTTTATTTAGGGGATCCAAAAATTTTTATCATTTAATGTAAGAAAGTAATATCTAGGAGTATGTCATCAAACTTGGATAGAAGTATGTTATAATAAAGCTAGCGTTTTTTATCTTTAAAACGCAACCTACAGTTAATTATTCAATAAGTAAAATATATTGTTTTTACAAAGCTACATAGCAAATATAAAAGATTTGCTATAATTATTAAGTACTGAAATTTATAGCGTTCTTTTGTGTTTTTTTAAGCATGTCTTAGTTACACTTGATTAATTTAGTTATTCTTGTGAACGTTATTTCCCTTGAAATAAATTTTGGTATTTGGATCTTCAAATTGGAGATAATTCGTTGCTTAAGGCTCAAATTTACATTTATTTCAAATTCCTGCACCTCAGGTTGACCGCTTACATATAAATACAACTTTAAGTTATTATTTTCTATTGTAAAAATTATATAGAGCAGAAGTTCTAAGCGAAATTGGTAGGTTTTTTTTAGCATTATCAAGCAGAAAAATAAATACACCAGTAGCCGTTGTAGATTGCATATTTAGTGTTAGTAGACACAGTCTTTGTCGTAAATTAAACATCTAAATTCGAATCAATTGTCTTTTCATATTTTTTACCCTCTCCTAAAGGATTCATATATAA